GCAATCAGTGATGTTTGCACAAGAGCCAAGACAGAGACTATGGGTGCTGTGTCACATCCAGCCCCCGTCTAAGATTCTATGGCCAAAAGTACTGTCCCAATAATAACACAAACCCTGGAACAATGCTTAGCTACATGAACCATAGGGACAGGAGTTCAGTGAAGGAGTTTGGGCAGGATTGTAATGTAATTTGTGACGCCAGGAATGCGCCTTGTTTTTGCTGAATTAGGATGTTATTTCAAGCCTGTTCATATTGAGGTGGAGAAAGTTGATCTTTTCATCATTTTTTGGTAGTGGATGTGTCCTATAGTTCGGTATAAATATAGTTGCTTCTCTGAAGCAAGGGTGTGTCACACTTGAACTTAATGTAGCACACACAAATGTACACACATATTTCTTCAAGTCTCTCTTCATATACACTGATGATAATTTATAATACCCACTTAATAAATATTACCCTCTGGTGTGTGTTCTCAAAAGTTCTCCTAGTTGGGCTGGAGAGATGGCTCTGTGGTTAAGAGTGCTGACTGCTCTTCCAGAGGACCCAGGTTCAATTCCTACCACCCACATGGCAGTTAACAGCTGTCGGTAACTCCAAGATCTGACACCCTCAGATAGACATACATAGAGGCAAAACACCAATGCCAATAAAATAAAAATAAATAAATTATTAGGAAAATAAATATATAAAAAAAGGGAAAAAAGTTCTCCTAGTGAATTTTAAATTCCCACTTTCAAAAGTAAAACTGTGATAAAAGATATAAATTTTGCCTTTTATTAATTTGTATTACAAAAATATTCAGACTAATAAAACAAGGAATATTTTCATTACTTTCCCTATATCTACCTCCCTAGATCAGGTTTACAGGTGTTTATCACATTTTTCAACTTTTCTTTTTCATACCCTTCTTTCTTCTCACTTCAATCTCTCTGTTTATTTGGTAACTAAAGTATTATGGAATCCACACTAAAAAATGTGTGTCAAATTTTGAGACAGTTTATCAAAAAGTTACAATGCCATTATCAAACCTCCTTTCCAAATGATTATGACTTTAGAATCCCCCAGCATTGAGTATTTCTAAGCTGTAAAATAAGTGTAGCCATGAATACAGTACTGAGACAGGGATCAGTGGGAAGCAAGTTCCTTCTGGGGTCTCTGATGACAACACCTATGGACTGGGAAAGGCAGCTCACTGCGCTGTAAGAAACAGTCTGGCAGAGATGAAGCAGAGCTGGGGGAAGTGAGCAGGCAGCTGGAGGAGGATGAGTTGAGGTACCAATCTATGGAGGAAGAGCACTAGAGAAGGGAGACATGAAACAGCTTCGGCCTAGTCTGTTTAACACCATTCTGCATTAAGGCAAGTTGGAGTATGCTCACTGGCTGAGCCCATCCTCCTAAAGGCAATACAGTTACACACAGTAATGAACACCAGGGGAAAAAAATGTGCCTTGATTCCTTATGTTCTATGTAGAGAGAGTCAGCGTGTGAACAACTTCAATGTCAGGCAGGTTTATAAGCTGGCCCACCCCCACAAACATCCATGACATTGTTAAACCAAACTACTTGTTACACACACACACACACACACACACACACACACAGCCACTCCTCATTCTTCTTTTCTTAAGGCTAACACATTGATTCTAGCCACAGTAAAAGCTTTTATAAACTAAACAAAAAATATAGAAACCTGTTTCTTTTCATTTTAGGCTTCCCATTCAGATTTGCTTTGTTACATTTCAAAGCAGAGTTGGTCCCATAGACCTTCTAAGTGCCTTCCTCCTGCTGATTGCATTGATTCTATCACAGAAAAAGTGCTGGCAGAGGGGGTAAGGTACACAACCAAGAAGAGAATTCTCCTCCTAGCAACATAGTTGTAGTGGCAGAACTGATTGACAGCTTGGCCTGGAGCAGGTCTTGCTTCCAGAGATTTGCCCAATTACAGGCATGCCCATCAAGTGACCTGTGCATTTTGTTCAAAGGTCAAACGGTAAGAGTAACATCCAGCAGGCAAAGCGTGTCGTCATTAGAAAATGAACTTGAAGCACGCAAAAACAGATTTGAAATTTTGTTTATAGCGCTGATTGTTATTCGGCTTAATTTAGAAACGTTTGATAGTCAATGCCTTTACTTTGGAGTTCTGGTAGAGTATTACCAACATGATATAACTGGTTAAAAAAAATAGTTAAACAAAAACCCCGTATAGGTTCTTAGCTGTATACAAAACAACTTCCAAAATATTCGATTAAGAGATGTTTAATATTAAAGGATGCAAATAAGCTCATTTGAATGTGATTTTTCTCCTCTCAGGTCGTCACTGGACAGAGTTAGATGTCTACCAAAGACAGCTTTCATATCTTTCTATTTAGAAAGATAGTGGAAAGAGAGGTCCAAAGATGCAGTTGTACCTTCTTATATTTTTATCTTAAAACTACTATTACACGATACACATTCATCATGGCGCACACAAGCTTTCCTGCCCCCTGTGTGGTTTTCAGGGACTGAACTCAGGTCAGCAGGCATGGCAACAGGTGCTCTTACCCGCCGAGCTACCTCTCCTGTAGCACAAGTTCTAATAGTTCTTAACAATAAAAACTCAGAGTCAGCTATCAGGGTTTGAAAGCTGAAGGAACAGAGAAGCATAGCAGCCAGGCACTTTCTCCTCTCTACCAAGGCTGAGACTGCTGCCTCAGACTGCACTGAGCTCCTGTCTCCTCCCACCTTACGTTCCCCCCTCCGCAGAGCCACATCACTCCTGTCTCCACCTCACTAGTGCTGGGATTAAAGGCGAGGGATCCCAAGCACTGGGATCACCTTTATGTGAGCTTTGTTTCTTTTTGAGACTAGATTAATTTCATGTAGCCCAAGATGGCTTTGAACTCACAGAGATCTGTCTGCCTCTGCCTCCTGAATCCTGGGGTTAAAAATGAGGGCCACCACTGCCTGGCCTCTAGTGTCTTAGCTCTGCACTCTGATCTTCAAGCAAGCTTTGCTTGTTAAAACTCAAACAGAATTCTCCAACTCTGCACTTCCTTTAAAAAAAAAATCATTCTCGAGAAGGAGGGG